TTTGATTATTGAGATGAAGAAAATATTTGTGAGAAATGCCACAAACATGATTTTTTAGAAATGTGATTGCATTATACTAAACATGATTCTCTATGTGATTGCATTATATTATAATACAACCAACTCATAACTTGATTGGAGAGAGATTGCCTAGAAAGTTTACTTTTAAAGGTTTTTGTATTTTCCCCTCATATATTACTTCTCCTGTAGATGGGAAACTTTGTAGTAGGTATTCCTTCCCGCAAATTTCGATGGGGGACAAATCTCTATCTTTCCCCTATTAAGAATTAGGTAGTGGGGTAAAGTCATTGCAAGATGAGACCTTAATCTTCATAAAGTACATGAACCTAAAAAAACACAAGAAGATCCCTCCAAGTATTTTGTATAAAAAAAATAAAAGGAAAGAATAAAGATCTCCATAGATTACAAAGATCTCCATAGAATAAAGTTCAAAACAATGATAAAATTAAATTCTTACACCAATAAAACCTATTACAAATTGGGGAAAACATATTGCCTCATCTTATGCATCCCTCAGCATTATAATAAGTATCCCTTCCCACAAGATGAGGGATGTACCATAAAACATATTGCATTAATGTAGAAATATGAGTAACGCCATAAAAAAAATATACTTTAGAAAAAGGTGTAATATTGTTAAAATGGTTCATAAATTGGCAGTAAATTTGGAGTAAAACTCCATTATAGGAAGAATGTAAGAATGCCACTTAAAAATAAAAAAATGCTCAAATATTGATTATTAAAATGTAAAATTAACCATATTCTTGTTTTAGGTGAAATTCATTCCTTCTTTTGGGAAAAAAAAAATATTATTGCAATCTCTCTCTCTCAACTAACAACCTATCTTTCTCTCTTTGGTGTCTCTCTCACGGCTGATAACCTCTTTCTTTTTCCTTACCCCTCTCTCTCTCTACTAACAACCTATTCAACTAAATTTGATATGTATAACGTATTTCAAAAACCAAAATTCCTAAGTTAATATAAAAATAAAAAATAAATTGAGTTAAAGATATCTATTTATTGCTAGGAGTTGCATTTTAAACTGCATTTTGACTATCAAATGAATTTAATAAACAACAAACAATTAGACATGAGACAAGTTCGTAGGATTTACATATTTATGATATAATAATAATAAACTATTTGCAATTGCCTTTATTTTTTCAGAAACATAAAAAGCTAGATTTTTTAAAATTTATAGAGATTTTTTGAAATTTACTTAGGTTGAGACGGGCTGATCTGATTGATTCTTTGATATGGATCATCGATTCATCGATCCGACACAGTTTTTGTATTGACTGATCCAGGTCACCGATCCGTTTTTTTAAACCTTGCCTAAACTAAATGGCAAGCAACCTATATGGGCTCTTTACTCTCAATTTTCTAGCCCTTGAAAATGAGGCCTAAGCGGGTCAATTCCGCTCATTTATACGCCATTTTGACTCAATTTTCTACCTAAAATCATGGAGCAAATGACTTTTGCAACATGCTTGAGCAAAAACGGTCCACAATTCGCCAAGCTTCACTTTTTTTTAGTTTTGATTTTTTTATTTTTCGTAAAAGCTGCTTATCCACTTCTACACCTCTTTATTACGCTCAAATTTGGTCATTATTTGATGACTAGCCAATGAATTCTGGTGAAAGACCCCTCAACTAATATTTGGTGAATCTTTTGGCTCGAAAGAATGCCGAATTAGAAAGATGTGGCCCCTTTACTCTTTACTATTTTTTGTGACTGCAGTCTCATAAATTAAGACCATTTCTCACTAAAATCCGCCCCTTGAATTGGCTTCAAATTATATTGATTCGAAGAAGATTGAGTGAGGAATGTTTCTACAAAATTTGAGCCAAAAAATCCACATGGATTGTGAGTTATATATCCAAAAACTCCACATTCTTGAGGCTATAAAACCTGGCATGCATCGTGAGCTTCTGCCTTGGTGAATGGCTTATGATCAGTGTACACTGTTGAACGCTCTGAAACTGTGTTCGGAAAAAAAATATTATGACTCCATATCACAAAAATAACCAGATGATTGATACAAACATGGCCCCTTAAGTTTCATATCATTGAAACAATAAAGGAATATATATATATATATATATACTGGGTTCGTGAGAAGTTTCAAATACTTGCAATCCCTGTTACAGTTTACATCAACCTGTTGTGGAAGGTTGAACACCCTTGATTCAAACCTTGAAGCTTAGACATCACATTTCTAAAATGACACATATATAGACAAGTGGAATAACATTAATACCATGGGCATATGGTGCCTGTATACCGCACTATATGCAAGAATATTGTCCATGGGTCTGCCCCTTCTCGAGTTGAGGCTTCAAATGATTCGGGATCAATTGTTTTTCTCTCTCGGATTTCTACACCACATATCAGAGGATGACAATATCAAAGGCCAATCCTTTGATCGACATTGTAATGTATATAGTCCCTTTCTTTTCTCCCTCTCTCCCTCTCTCTCTCTCTCTCTCCATATCCATCTATCTCTCACAATTTAGTTTAAAGTGATAAGCTTGCATCTTTTTTCGAATTTGAAAGCACTTCCAAATGGCTTTGATGATAACTCTGCCCTTGTTTGATCTTAATTGTTTCTTAATATTCGAATTTGAAGCTGCAACTGCAAGATTCATCGTGAATTTCCAGTTATTTCTTATCAATCGTCGGTCAGTCTGCAGAACTGTATTGACATATCTATGTGTTTACTCTACTGCTTTCTAACAACGAATCCATTTGTCATGAAATTTGAAGAGATA